ATAACAACAAAATAGACACAATAATAAAAGCTAAGTACAAAATCAGGTGTGCTAGGAGCTGGACCAGTAAAAGTAGACTAGTGTTCGTTGATGAGTCGGACTAGAGTGGGTACTGTGTTCCGGTGGTAGCGGTCAGTGCGGGCCCTGATGGGCACCAATTTGTTGGCGGCGCTTAGGGCCCGGCGAGGCGGCGGTGCGCCGGGGGGCAGCAGGTCACGGTGGCGTGGATGGCACAGCAATTTGAGGCCAAACTGCTGCAGTGAGGTTGTGTAATGAGTGGCGAGGGAGGCGAGGCCTAGGGCGGTCAGGGCGCTGTCATAGCTGGTATACACAGGGCCGAGGATGATCTTGGCTGCCCTTTTCTGCACCCTCTCGAGTTGTAGCAGCTGGGTGGCGGTGAGGGAGGGGGACCAGGCGGGGGAGGCGTAGGTCAATTTAGGGAGGATAAATAGCCTGTAGGTATTCTGAAGCTCCGGGAGTGGAACGCCAAGGGACTTGAGGCGGCGCAGCATGTGAAGCCTGTACGAGGCAGACCTCACGATGTCTCTGACGTGCTGCGTCCAGGAGAGCTTATCGTCGATGGTGACGCCGAGCAGCTTGGTGGAACGGACTACATCGAGCGGGTGGTCGTCCAGTGTGAGGAAGGGCAAGGGGGTGGGGTTGGTGGAGAAGTCGAACTGTATGTATATATGTATATATGTTGGTATGTATGTATAGTTAGGGCCTGTCAGATTTAACGCCCACCTCTAACGATGCCAATGGAACAAACAAATTGCGTAAATGATATTAGATTAGGTATCAATGATTCCCATTCTGTTTCATCAAAAGCTTTATTCATCTTGAGCATATGACACTGATCATATTTTTTCGATTATTTCCGATTTACCTTTCAGCCTCTGGCTCACAAAAATATTCTTTATTCATCTGCGTTGCATTTTACCATAAGGAATAGTAGCCAAAACCTTCACCGTTCAACCATGTTATGAGTGCCTGCGTATACTCCAGCAACAATTTGCAATTGTCTGTCAGTTCGGAAACTATAACTTCCGACCGCGAAAAGAGGCCCACGTCAGCTGGCGAGTCCTGATCCACGTGAGCTGAAGAGATAAACATAAAAGTAATCAGAACTTTACGAAATACATGGTCGTTATTCTGATCCTGAATTACTGAAGTAACTGTCCTATACTTTGGCCTTAAATGTTCACAGGTACTAATCAGTACATTGAATTCTTAACGAAATAAAATAGCCTTACCTTATTAGTAGCCACAGTCACCATTTCTTCAAATTCCCCCTGGGAGTACTCTTGAGCGAATGCCTCATGTGTTGGTATGAAATCGTCGAGCTCCTTTTGTTGGATGCTGTAGAATTTGTCGCCGAGGTCTTCTGACTGCACACCAAAGCCCGCTCGTGCGACCGCACGCGCGTAATCCCTCACTGTCACTAGAGACATACCTTGAAGTTGGAGATTAGATTCTATAGCATTCAGTCGATAAACAATCTTATACATTCATACACATTACTTTTGTTCGTACCATAGTTCTCATACATGTGACAAGCCAGAAAGCTAACTTATTGCGATCGGTACTCTAAGCCGCTGTTTTGCTTTGCTTCTACAGTGATGCTGTTGGACGTATCCGTGATAAAAGGGGAAGAGCGCCTGGGTCAGGTTTCCAACATGTATTACAGTATTTTGCTATACTACAGCATTTTTTTAAAATTAGCAGTTCCTTGCGACATTTATTCCATTTATTTTAGGAATCACCATCACATCAAAACTACATTTTGACATTAGTTAACTATTGGTAACATACTATAGTACCTATAATTTATCAGGCAGCAGCCAAACTGCCGCCGATGACCTACTTGACTTGGCCACGTAGTCGGCGAGGGGCGTCGAGGTCGGCGCGGATCCCAGGCAGTAATCCGTGACGAAGAGGGTTCCGCCGGGCTTGAGCCAGCACTGCGGAGGGAGAGGCGTCGGTTACGTGTGTTCGCGTAGGCGATGATTGCTACTGGAGCCAGGGATGGGAATGGTGATGGAGGTGGATTTGTGGGCAAGGCTAATGCAGGTTAGAATGGTAAAAGCAATCGTGGTTATGGTCATAAAAATAGTGATGGTTGTTATAAAGATGATATGTTTCGGAATAATGCAATACCGCAGTACTATATTGTAGATATACTGCAAAGTTACCCTCCCTAAAAAGGAATCGAACCCCTCTCAATCTAGACTTTTTTACATGAAGCCCCCTTTTTTACTTTTAAGAGTTCTTATACCCCCTTACCTTATATCAGAATGAGATTTATAACGAAATCAATAATAACGAATTTATCATTGATATTTTTGTAATTGATTGGTGCTGATGATTGTAAATGATTTTATCATCATGCTGATGATAAAAAAAACTATCATGATTACTTTCATTGATATTCCTTTCTTTGATTATATAAAAGAGCTTTGATATATACCTTCCTATAAAGTTTCTATCAAGGGTGTTGATA